ACGCTTGCGTCATGGTACTGTCGTGAACGTGCGTCCACAAGTGACGCAGTAGAGAGACAAATGTTGAATAATGTTGTTATTTTTGTTTTCTTTGCGCAAAAAAGTATTCTCGTAGCTTCGTAACTTTACAGTTGAACCACTGATGTCACACGGACTACTTTGTCGATCATCTTGGTACTTTTCTGGACCTTGAACGTGGTAGTTACCTTGCTGTCTATGGGAGGGTCAGAGAGCCCTCAGATTTCATCAAAAATATCTTAATTTGTGTTCCGAAGATGAACGAAGGTCTTACGGGTTTCGAACAACACGAGGGCGAGTAATTAATCACAGAATTTTTGGGTGAACTAACCCTTTAAATCTGGTTGTTTTCACATGAAAATGCTTTCAACCTAAGTCACAGGTGAGACTAACCCCTCCGCCAACTCCCCACACAGCCACGGCCTCTATACACTTTGTATCCATCCCAGTATAACACTCCACCTCAAGCGGCTCGGTCACGCTCGGAGGGCAACGGTACAGCACGAGATGATGCATGACGTCAATGTTTGTGATCACCGGCTCAATCTGGACATAAAGTAAGTCAGAGATGAAGATGATTGACAGATCGCTGGATAGATCATGTGTGTTAAGTTCATAGACTCACTTACGCGATAAATGTGCTGTTTGCGATCAAATGTTGGGGCTTTCATGATCTTGCAGTGATAGTAGGTATGGTTGGCTGGTACAGTGAACTGAAATGATTTGTAAATGTAAGCAACATGTAAAGTTACACTCATTAGCACTTTAAAGAGATTAACCAATAATATAATCTATGCAAACTATGGGGTAAACTATATTATGGGCTCAGTAAAAGTTTTTTTGTTTTTGTTTTTTTAATATAAAAAGTAAATCAATAAAAAGAAATGTATATTTTTCAACAAGGACACATTAAATTGACCAAAAGTGACAGAAAAGACATTTAAAATGTTACAGAATATTTTTCTATTTTAAATGCTGCTCTTTTGAGTTTTCTATTCTTCAACAAATTCTGAATAAAGATGTTACTGTTTTCACAGAAATATTTAGCTGCTGTTTTAAATGTTGCTCTTGAAATGCCAGCAACAGAAAACTGGGTTTACACACAGAACAGCAAAATGACAAAGTAAAATCTTTCTTACATTGACCATAGTTATGTCAAAAAAGTTGCTGTTTGGAAGGTTGACCCGAGGCATGTACTTCAACAGGTTCAGCTGCTTTGTGCCTCTTCGGGTGCTGTGGTACATGATTTCATCGGTCTGTCCGTACGCATAGATCAGCTTCATGGGGAGATTCTGATGATGCAATAAAAACACTTTTACTTGATGTCTTTACTTGAAATGAGAAGCTCTTTGGCCGCATGCACACTGCAGTTAAATATTGTCACTCATAAAAGTTTGCTGTGTGTATGTGGCTCATCTGGCCATCGATAACTCATTTTAGCTATTTTTGATTTATTTTGAAGGTTTTTTAAGTCGGTCAGTCAGACAGTCCATGTTTTCAGTTTAAGGAGGGTTTTGAAGTGCAGTTGAGAGCTCCTTGACAAACAAGATCAGCCGTTTTTAAGGCCACACTCTTAAAAAAAAAAAAAAAGGTGCTTAAAAGGTTCTTCACAGCGATGCCATAGAAGAACCATTTTTGGTTCCACAAAGAACCATTCAGTTAAAAGGTTAAGAAACCATCTCTTTCTTACCTTTTTATAATCTGAAGAATCTTCTTTTGCCACAAAGAACCTTTTGTGAAACAGAAAAGTTCTTCAGATGTTAAAGGTTCTTTATGGAGCCATTTAGACAAAAAAGGTTCTTCTATGGCATCGTGAAGCACCTTTATATTTAAGAGTGTAATAATATCTGACTGGCATATAACTGAACAAATCAAACAAACGTAAACGGGTAAAGGCGGGGCTCATGGGCTGCAGCCCAGCCTAGCCCAATGGTAAGTCTGGCCATGCTCAAAGCATATTTTAATGTTTGTGAATTTTGTGTTACTCCATAATGATGTTCTAGTTGAGAGCATTTGTAGTGTATAGGTAGAGCCCAAACATAACCTCAAGCCCAGGGGTCCCCGGCCCTCCAAATCCTGCCCTGACTGTCGCTGTTTTCAGGCTAAAACAGTGAAAGGGGAGGGCTACATTGCTGGTGCTGAACTACTTTTCCTTTGTAATGAATATTAAAAAAAAACAATGCTAAAACTCACAGTGATGGGTAAATCATTTTCATCACAGGAACCAATGGACCTCTGAAACTTCATGACTGTTTTCCCATCAGACTCTTTCAGAGACAGGAGTTTGTAGTTCTGTTGCTTGTCAACCAAAGGAATTGATTTTCCCACAGCATGACGATCCTAAATACAGAAAAACAGAAAAGAGAAATGAAGCATGTATGTATGCTTTATGATGTTGTAGTTATAGATGTACAGATCCCAGTGCAGTTAAACTGGGCTATCAATTTAACACTTTGACAATCAATAGTTCAAAACACAAGAATATCAGATGTCTATGTCAGACAGATATATATATCAGATATTTGAATAAAAATAATATAAAGAATTAAATATCAAAAAATATACAATTATTTGTAACTCAACTGTAAGTGACAGTTATCAGTCTCAATCTTGAGGATGTGAACAACTAAGAAACTCAAATATAAGATAAAATATAACTAAATAGGAAATATGAATGTGAGTCAAAAACATAAAGAACAAAATATCAAAAGAATATAAAATTAATTGTAATTCCACTGTAAGTGACTTTGATAGTTATCAGTCTCAGTCTTTACCGTGAAGTAAATGCCTTTGGGTCCAACTCCTCCAATGACGATATCGGCTCCAGTCATTCCTCCTTTGGGGCTGAAGCCAAAACCGACCCAGCCGCTGGTGTTGACCGTGAGCTCGAACAAGATTGTGCCCTTGATCTTATCAAATCCCCACTTCAGCCGCACCTTGTGCTCGAGGTCCAGGTGTTCAGAGAAAGGCAGAAGAGGGTCTTCCTGAGCCCAGGACCACTGGACTGAAAGCAAAAGCAGAACAAGAGATAATATGACCATGTTTGCTTTTCAAAATCTGACAAACAGTGTCTTTGTAAGGTGTTTGAGAAGGCAGTGACATGAAACTGCTCTGTAGTCACTTTAACAGCCCTCTTTATGTTGTCTGTAACCCCCCCTCACCTGATATCAGTTCTTCTCCTCTCACTCCGGTCTGGTGAATCAGGTTCCACATCACCTGATTTTCCAGTATTATTGGCTACGAGAGAGATTACGATCAGCTTTTAAAAGCACTTTTCATCTTTTCATGAACGAGCATTCAAAAATTACTCTTTATTAAATAAATATTTATTTTAGGGTTGTGATGAACAGTAAGTACAGAATAGCGGCACATGCCAGAGATGGATTAGTTAATGATGTTACATAAGCTAAAGAAACTGGTTTTATTTTTGCCCTTTCAGTATCTTCACATCAATGCAAAGGAGCAGAGGTCAGGACCAGGGCCACATTAACAATTGGGCTAGGCGGAGCTGAAGCCCCGGGGCCGTGAGCAAAGAGGGGGCCCCGTGATTTGATTGGCTGTAGAATAGATTGACTAATTCCATGAATTCCATGCATTACCATTAGAGATAACGTTTTAATTTGGTTTACCAATCACTTACATTTATTCTACATTTGACTTTTGAACGACCTGTGCACGTATCTCATCGTCCCCACAGATTTTAGGTTAGTTTGATTATTAACCTGAAGGATGTATGTTGCTTTTTCTGTTTGAACAATCTGTATAGCCTATATTCTCTTAAGGGTTGGGAGATAACCCTGTAGAAATATGCAGCTTATTAACAATAGGGCTAGGCGGGGCTGAAGCCCCGGGGCCCGAGCCAGGAGGGGTCCCATGATTGGCTGTGTAGTAGATGGACTGGCTGTCGGTATCACCAAAGCCCCACCACGCCCATGCCCGTAGCCAGCTATGAGGTCACAGAGGTCCAGACCTGGTACATTTTTTTCATGTTCAGCAATAAAATTTGTTTTCTGAATGACGAATTTGATATTTATATGAGTGTCCGCATGTTTAGACAGTTTGCAAGAATGTTTCGCGTCCGTGGTATGAAAATGATTGCTGCCAGACGCTGGCGGAGTGAACCAATAGGGTCTGGCTGCAGACTTGCGCTTGCACTCTCAGACTTGCACTCTCAGACTCGCACTCTCAGACTCGTACTCTCAGACTCGCACTCTCACACTCTCAGACTCGCACTCTCAGACTCGTACTCTCAGACACTTGCACTTCCGCTAGCTCGCCACTTGCACTCTCCGATACCTGCGACGTCACTTGCAATCGACACAAATCGTGCGTGTTGCCAATGGAGACAAGACGCTGTGGTGGTGATTAAACGATTAAAACTAATTTAGTACCGTAACCTACAGGGTCCTGCAAGCCATCTGTAGGAGAAAAAGACAAGACCCGCAAATCTGTAGCTACAGAACAGCAGAATATGAACGCATGCGCAAAGTCTCTCGCTAAGAGTTTTCCTCCTGTAGAAAAACATAAACACTTAATATGGCTTAATGTCGAAGATATGAGTTATTCAGTAAAATCCCCAGCTTTCGGGTTATTTCACTAAAGCTAATGATGGAGTTGTGGAAGAGCAAGTGGACCGGGCACATGGAGCAGATAAAAACACGGCGTCATCGTCTCCACAGTTTTTAGGTTAGTTTGATTATTAACCTGATGGATGTATGTCGCTTTTTCTGGACTGGAGTTATGATTTATGCCATGAAACCCAAATAAAAAAAAATAAAGGAATAGCTATTTTAAGGAATAATGAAGGGTGTATGGGGTTGTGGGGGTTTGCTGATACCTCTTTTGGTCCACATGTGTGTGAATCATTGGTCATGAAGTGCACAAGAAATACCTCTGGTTTCCACTGTGGCTCTATATGCATATATCTATAATGTATTTATTAAAAACTATATATGATTTCCACTAGCAATACAGGGCAGCAAATTTTTTTTTTTTCAGCTGTTTACTGGACAGATATTGTCTTCCCTTTGAGGGGAGCTTGTGGGCTCATACAGCCGAATTGATCCACATTCAAATTGTAATACTTTTTCTTACTGTCTTGCGTCTTGAGATGTCTGAACTAAATGAATTAAAAACGATTGGCACCTGACATGCTAATTGAAATTACAGCTAAATCAAGTAATCACACCCGACTGTGATTGGTCCTTATGAGAAAAGTAACAACGCGACTGGCTACTTCTGCAGTGTTCTGAGCAATAGCTATAGTTAATATTTTCTTTTCTTTTTTCTTTTCTTCTTTTTTACCATTATTACACCTGTTAAAATAACAAACAGGCATTATCATTATTGAAAGTATTATTGCTAAACACAAATGCAATAAATTCAAGCAGCACATATTAAAAGAAAGAAAAATATAAAACTAAAAACAAAATACTTAGAAATAATAAATATCGAAATATAAGCAAATTATAACATAAATGTGTTTATGTATGTATGTATGTACAATACACAAGCCACGCCCATTTTAGGAAATCCACACTTTGTACTCGCTTTCCAAACATAGATATGTATTGATATCTGTGTACATATCTGTTTCCAACCGGTTTTACAAGATTTTCAGTTTCAGTGGGCGGAGCATACATGAATATTCAGGAGTTTCCCGGGACATGCGCGTGGAACTGAGAATTTATGATTTTAGTTGAGAAATCGGTGATAAAATATAAGAAAACATTGTGTGTTCAAGGGAAATTTTATATATCTTTCTTATTTGATATTCAATATCTCAGGAAAGTAATACGGTAAGAGAAAACTTCTTTTTTTGGTGATGTTTCCCAATATGTGGGCTGTATGTGATTTAAATTTTTGGAGACATCATGAAGTAATCAGAATTTGGAATCAAGGTAGCCTTTTTCTTAGCCCTTGACAGTTTTGAAATTGTTGTTTTGAATTTGAAGTAATGCCTTGCTCAAGTTTAGTCAAAGCCCCAAACAATTATGCTTGTTTTATTCTACTCTGAGACCTTTCAAATGACACATGACTATCTGAGCTGTATGATGTTTTTGACATACTAGAGTGCATGGCACAAAAAAACATTTCATATATGAAAAAAATTTGTTTATTTATCAGCAAATAATTCAGCACTACTTAGTAGTTAATCAAAGTGGCCATGCGTTGTAAAGGTCAGACTGTAAGCTTTTAAATTACATCTATTTTGTGTTGATCTAGGGCAGGGGTGTCAACCTCAGTTCCTGCAGGGCCACAGCCCAGAATGCCTTGCTCAAGTTTAGTCAAAGCCCCAAACAATTATGCTTGTTTTATTCTACTCTGAGACCTTTCAAATGACACATGACTATCTGAGCTGTATGATGTTTTTGACATACTAGAGTGCATGGCACAAAAAAACATTTCATATATGAAAAAAATTTGTTTATTTATCAGCAAATAATTCAGCACTACTTAGTAGTTAATCAAAGTGGCCATGCGTTGTAAAGGTCAGACTGTAAGCTTTTAAATTACATCTATTTTGTGTTGATCTAGGGCAGGGGTGTCAACCTCAGTTCCTGCAGGGCCACAGCCCAGAGGTTAGCTTCAATTAAACACACCTGATCCAGCTAATCAGGTCCTTCAGGCTTATTTGAAAACGCTGGCAGTACGTTCCGGTTAGGCCCTGTCCACACGAACGCGGTTATTTTTAAAAACCGCAGCTTTTTCTACGCGGTTAGGCCGTTGTTACGAGATTTTCGGTTTCAGTGGGCGGAGCATACATGAATATTCATGAGTTTCCCGGACATGCGCGTGGAACTGTACTCTGCAGAGGTGAACTGTAGCAAGGGGGTCCTTTAGAGCGACAGCTGCCCCTGATATTCCCTGATTTTATTACATGTTATTGAATGTCTGACGGTGTTGACAAAAAGTGGGGACGCAACTTTAAAATCTTATTAAACATGCATGTGTCATTAAAAAACAACCTTGCTTTGTTAGGAGATATGATTAAGTGTTACTTTTGATAAAACAAGCTTTTTTTCATTAAAAAAAACATTTTTATCCGTTTTATTGCATATGAATGATTGAACCCTTCTCTGTGGACACACTGTTTTAGATGTAGAGAGAGGACATTAAGAAACATAGATTTGGTATAATAATGAGAAAATTAAATTGAAGGTGATAATTGTGTTAAATACATTCTATTATTTATCCCTCATGACATTTAAAATTTTAAATATTTTTATTTTTAAACCTAATAGCAGTTACCCTTGCTGGACCTGTTTTGTCCCCATGTCTCAAGAATGACTGGTCAACACATGTCGTTTTTACCGCTGTCATGTATTTTTGAAATACTACACATTTCCACTAGAGGCCGCTCTAAACTCACACATCTGTTGTTTCAGCCCGCCCTCTCAGGTTGAACTTGACAAAAGTTAAAAAAAGCTGACACAGTCATAAATGAAAACTTTTATGGGCACAAAACATAGACTGTATAAAAACAGGCACAAAAGCTAAAATATCTACTTGAACAAAACAAAACAAAAGCGTCGTTTTTGTATTTATCCCTACTTTATTTAACATTAGCATTTTTTCTTCTTATTAGTCTAAAATGTGATCCTAAAAGTCCTACACTACAGTCTAACATAGCTACTATGAAGTATATAAATATATCATAAGCCTATATTAAACCTTAATGCTATATATGATAATAATAACAATAAATATTTGTCATATGTTTATGTATTATATACTACATAAATATTATGTGTAGTAGAACGAAGCAGGGTGAGGCTGAACGCCGTCGAAGCTAAACGAGGCCGCTAAACGAGCGTGACACACGGCTCGAAAGCAGCGGATGTCACTAGTTAAAATCGCTTATTTCTCTTGATTTAAACATTCTTGTAAACATTTGGGATAATGTAAGTACACAAGTCAGCAAAATATATAACACTGTTCTAGTGGTTTTTGGATATTTAAAAAAAAAAAATTCTTACATATTGTGCCTTTAATGTTTTTATGATTTTGTGCTAAAAATAACCCAGAGACTTCAACAGTT